AAAGCCTTCAGACTGCAAGATAGCAGTTCTGCGATCTTCTACCTCGGCAGCAGGTCACGGACGCCTTTGTGCAGCTCTCTCTTGGTTGGCCTAAGCCTTCGCCAAAAGCTTCCCACGTGCGCCCGATCGCCTCAAGACTGTCCGATTTGCTCTATGCTGCGAGTCGAGTCGCGGAGGTTCAGGGTGACGACAATGACAAGGATTCGCCATGGTTCGGGCTGTCAGCGCAGCTAGCTGTATCAGCGCTTGGGATGGCAGCTGGTCGCGCCGAGTAGCACTGCCATGCCTCCAATTGTTGTCCGACGTGAGCTGCTAGCTGCACGATCGTACGGCCGGTTTGCGCAACGCCGTCTCGACAGCCCGCTGGGACCCGCGACTGGAGAAGTCCGGAAAGGCTTTTCTTGATACATTGGCGGGTCTTGTAGGATCTCATCTGTCCCGGCAAGCCCAGCAGAAGTACGTCAACAGGGTATGAGCCCAAGTACCGAGGCGCAGCCGTCGCTACACACGTACGGACAAGCCTTGACATCTACTCGAAGCGCTGTCACTGAGGCTTGTGTCTTCTGCTAAATGAAAGCCTTCATCAGCTTTTGAGCGTCGTCTATGACTTGCTCCGCTGGTCCACCCTGTACCGGTGCTTTTTGTTTTGTTGTTGCCGGCATCGTGGATGTAGTGGATTTAGTAACCGACGGTGTAGCTCCTCCATCACAGGGCTCTGTGGCTTGCCCCCATTTCCTCCACGACCACCTGTTCGACCCGTGCATGACGCCGGTGAGCCTCCTTCCGTGGAGGACATGAAGCGGCCATGTGCCCTTTCGCTCCAATCTCGTTGCAACGATCCTTGCCCTTTGTCTTGCTGAAGTCCTTACACGCTTTCCAGCTCCGACAGCCTTCATCGGTCGTGAAAAACGCCACGGCCATCACTCTGAGGTTTCATCCTCTTTTTTGCCCATCTGCTCAAACTCAGGCAACAGGGCTCGATGTACACCCAGCATTGCTTCCTCAGAGGGAGAAAAATGTCGACCTTCAAGTGGCACCTTCTTCACGAAGAGATCCAAGCCTGTCAAACTCACAGATGGATCAGGAATCGATAGTTTCAGATCCTTGGCTCTCTGGTAATGCCGCAACCACTGCACACTGGCCTTGGCAGAGTAGACTCACTCGACGACTCATGTCCCAAGAAGCTCGCCCCTGATGCCATAGTCGTCCCAGTAACTTCGCCTCGCACCGCAAGTTGGAGGGATGTGGCCAAGCCCTGGTCGGAGGACTTTGATGCAGATGAAATTGTGGCTCGCCTCCCTTGTCTCACCGCCCCATGCTGCACAGCTGGTGTGAAGCGTGCAGGCTTGCCTGTGCTCCGTGCCATTGAGCAGTTTATATCGGCAGATGCCGCTCTGGTGCCTTACGAACCATGCCGCCTGTCCCGGCAAGTCGCAGAGGCGACGGTAAATCCCTGAGGATTGCTTGGATTCTGGGCCAGAAGCAGACGAGCCGCAGCAGGTGCTCTCGTGTGGCGGCTACTTCGACGTGCTCCTTTGCCAATGTCATCAGCACAGAGCCGCAGCTTCCCACTCAGGCATGGGGTGCTACCTGCCAACATGTTGCTAGGCGCTAGGCTCGAACCTCCAGACCTCCGTTGCAGCCCGGATTTAATGTTGTCGGCAGGTCTGGGATATCCGAGGATTCCTGCACCCAACGAGGCTCCGCAGTTCGGGGGGCCGTCTTCCTGTCGGTGGCGCACGGGTAAAGTTTCAGAGTCCTGCAGACAAGTAGTCTTTCTCGAATCTGCATGTCCCAATGGCCAAACCAATAGGATGAATTTCACCCGCTAGTCTGGCAGTTTGCAACAAACAGCACCTGTCAAACCCTGAAGATCAGTCAGCAACACTCAGTTCTCTTTGCACGTAGTGACTGTGTTCGCGACTGCCCGCCTTGGTTGCTGCAGGCCGTGGGCATCCAGACCTGGACGGCTGCCGTTTTGGAAAAGTGGCCGACGAAAGTTCATAGCTGTCCCATTTGCTCTTCAGCTCCCTTCACCCACTACGAAGCCGTCTGTAGCTGGATGCTATCGCTGGCCTTTGCGCACTGCTTCCGCGCATGCTGTATGATGATTGAACCATCTGCAGAGCCTTTCTCTCGTTTCTTTTGGTGCCGGCCCGGAATCTGTCCTAGCGCGATTGCTAATTAGTGGTCTTGAGCAAATCTGCATCGTAGGAGGGTGGATGCCCCACAAAAGCTGATGATGAGGAGGGTGGTCGTCGAACTATGACGAATGCCAGTCGCAATGGTACACAGCTGAGTCAACATGCTAATTAGCAGCCCCTAGAATTTTCGCAAGACCCAGAAGAAAGAAACACTGTTGCATGAACGAACCGAGGGTAGAAGCAATTGGCGGAGCATAGTCGGCCTGTTATTTCGACGTCCTACGGTTCAAGTATGTTCAAGTGCTGCAACTCTCCTCCGTCGCGATGGATGCCAAGGGCCGCTACCCTGCAAGGCGGACCGGGCGGTCAAGGGGGGCCTCTTGTGTTGTGGCACGTGTGGAAACACGTAGAAGATAAAGGCCTCCAGTGTTCAGCAGCCAAACTGTCCCGGAACTGCCCTGAACGCTACCGGCAAAACATCAAGCGGTGCATGCCCGGAATGCCTGCTGAGCTTGGATTCACGTTTTGCTTCAAAGCGTGCATGGCGGTTCCAGGCGATTGGGTTCGGAGACCGCGTAGAGGGTCTCAGAACCTCCGGGCATCCGAGAGCTTCCGCTCCTGCTCGTAGCGAGAGGCGCGGGCTCGGGAATGCCGCATGCGCCTCGCCTTGCGGTATAGTGGGTGTATTTCCAGTTCAAAGCAGTCCCTGCATCTTGAACGAGCGAATAGGAGCAGTCTTTAACTCGTGCTTTGGCGGTTCAGTACATGTCTTTGAGCTTGCCGAGGCTCACTGTCCATAGAAGCCGCAACACCTGGGTCCCCAACCTAGTGCTACTTCCTGGCTTCCGGTTGAAGGTTGAAGGACCCGACGGACGAGGCCACA